TAAATGTAGAGACTTACCTGTCAGAGTACTCTGATTGGTTGGCTTAAACCAACCAATCAGAGCACTCTGAACCTAATTACAGGGTGTGGGAAGGCTTTATAAGATCATTCTGCGCCATGAAGAAGGATTACATTTTTTGCATCTGGATTTTTTTTTTGTCTGCATAATTTTATTGTTTTTTTGCGCTCTGGTTTTTTTTACCTTTGCGACAGGTATTTGGGATTTTTAGTTGGCCTTTTTTGTGGCTGAAGAAAGAAAAGAAAAGAAGAAAGAAGATATCTAATGGTAAGTATGACATTTTATTTTAAGGGGTTAGTTTATTGCCCCGCCCCTCACTATTATTAGGGTAGGTAGGGTATTTTAATTATGGGAGGGAGTGACTAGGGACTTGGGGATGCCTAGTCACTTTATTATTTGTGGTCCCCACCTGCCGGCCATGAGTGGGGACCTGGGGGGGACATTAGGTCCCCCCCATTAGTTATTTAATCAGGGTCCCTCCCTGCCGCTCATGGGTGGGGACCATGGGGGGCCCTTTGGACCACCCCATTATTTATTTAGGGGTCCCCAACCACCACTTATGGGTGGGGACATTAGGTCCCCCCTTTAATTAATTAGGGTCCACACCCACTGCTCATGGGTAGGAACCTCGGGGGGACATTAGGTCCCCCCATTATTTAATTAAGGTCCCCACCGGACGGTCATGGGTGAGGGTTTGGGGGAGGACAGTAGATCCCCCCCATTTATATTAATAGCCTCCTCCCTGCAGGTCACAGGTGGGGGCAGGGGCGTACCTAGAGCATTTGGCACCCGGGGCGGATCCTGTGCTTGGCACCCCACCCCCCCACCCCAACCCCCCCCAAAAAAAAAAAAACCTGTAAAAAATGTTAAAGGTTTTCTTTCTTTTTCTTTTACAATTTGTAAACTTTGCAAAACCGCTGTCAGCCCCTCCTACAAAGCCCTTGTCCTGCCCCACCCCTCCTACAAAACCTACCATGGGACACTGTGCGGCCACAGCTCACACAGCCCCCTCCAGCCAGGGCCGGTGCAAGGATTTTTGCTGCCCTAGGCAAAAGTAAAGTTTGCCGCCCCCCCCCATGTGACATCACAATGCCCCACCCATATGATTTGCCATGTTAACTAACGCCAGTGCTGCAGTGCCGCCGTGTTTACATTAAAAGGACTGCAAGGACAGGCTATAGACACCAGAACCACTACATTAAGCTGAAGTGGTTCTGGGGACTATAGTGTTTCTTTAATGTGAGGTAAATTAGAGCTTAGTGCCATGAATAATATACTAGATTGCCTACTTACAAACAGATGAGGATGATGATGGGCTCTAGCTGCAGTCTGGCTCCACTGGTCTGGTGCAGAACAGGCTCTCTGGAGGCGGTTTGTAACTGTGGTCACAAAAATCAATGTTCTAGGAGAACGGGAAGCAGCTCCATTTTTTGGGGGTCCTTTGCACAGCTCAAGGTCTGGGTCCCAGGGTCCACCTTCATGTTCCACCAATAAGTTTGTTCACAGGGGGTGGAGTGTGTAAGGGATGTCCTGATATGTGTGTAAGGAATGCATTGTGTGAAATTGTGTTTGTATGTGTAAGGGCTGCAAGGTGTGTTTCTGTGTATGTATGGAATGCATTGAATGTGTGTAAGGGGTGCATTGAGTGTGTGTAATGAATGCATTGTGTGTTTCTGTGTGTGTAAGGGAGTTGTTTGTGTGTAACGGTTGCATTGCTTGTGTATGTGTGTGTAATGCATTGTGTGTTTTTCTGTGTGCAAGGGGTGCATTGTGTGTATGTGATGAATGTCAATCTCTCCTCCCGCTCCAACTTCCTTCTCCTCCTCCCAATTTCTCTTTCTCACCCCCCCTCCTAATATCTCTTCCCCCCCTCCTAATTTCTCTCTCACCCCCTCTCTCTCACCCTCTTTCTCACCCCCTCCTTTCTCTCTCTCACCCCTGTTACGGGCAAATGCAAATATTACAAGTTTTAGAATGAAATGTTGTATTTCTTAAACTGTGTACTTTGTCTTTAAGAGATATTGCAAACTGACAAGGTGTTAGAAATGGAACATATTGTTTTTCATAGATGTTTCTTTAAGCAATAACCTCAGTGCATAATATGTTTGCGCCATTTTGTCCCAGACGAATTACAATAACAATAATGCATAAACAAGCTTCAAGGCTATGCTACGACTCTTGCAGTACACAATATACTGTGGTAACCCCAAGTTAATGGAACTTCCCCAAATCCGGGAATCTCCCACGACTGTACACTTACGACTTAGTATAAACAACAGATAACCTATTCAGACTTTAAGATGCCATCTTGAACTAAGTCAGGAAAATTTCCATGACGTATACACCCTTTAGTTATGGCCTTGTATGTTTGCCAAATTAAGGGAGGTCCTAAATTGAATAAAGTAAAAGAAGTGTTACTTTTTCATATTTGAACTACAGTAACCTAAAATGGAGACACCTAAGGTATAAATAGGTGTACTTTTAAATGTTAAGACACAGAGGAGAGACTTGGAGACAGACGCTGCTCCATCTTAAAATGACAGAGAGGCTGACATGATGACATGTTCAGAAGGGTATGTTAACCTATTAATGATATTTGCAAGCATGTAATTTAATTTTATAAACTCTGCTATAATGGATTTTATATTTTTATATAATAAATATCCAAAAAGACAATCTTGCTTCCAAGACAATCCTTATTTTATATTGTATTCTCAATTATTTATATATGTTAAATAGAGGATCTCTTACACTATATAAAATTATGGCTAAGATATCTGTATGGTTAGCCCTACTAAGTTCTATGCTTTAAGACATTATAGTGGTAAATAAGGGAACCACACACGGTTACAATTGGCGACCACGAAGGGACTTTGTACTTGGAAGCTTTAAATATAAAATAAATACCTAGGTAACCTCTTATACGTAAGAGAAGACACAACACTTTGTCATGGCACAAGTCTTGAAATATCAAGAATCTATTGAGCTACTTGTAGCCCAGACTCAGAGAGAGATCATTAGAGATGATTTTAATGTGAACAAGGCACTGTGAGTTTAGGTGCCAGGTACAACGTAATTAGCATACAATGCTGAAATTGTGGATCTTAACTAATATCATAATAGAACAAATGCCTAATACACCAGCATAGCATGGCCCGTTAGTTCCAGGACAGTGGATTGCAGACAGGGGGATATGTTCTCTTTGTAGCTGCTTAGTATGCATGCGCAGGAAAAAGATTAATGCAAAATGTTGTCAAAAGAAAAGTGATAAGACAGAGCGATGAAATTTGAAGTCTAATTCCAAGAATGCAAAGAAAAAATGCATTATGGCTTAATGAAAACATTCATGCAACAGACAGACAGGATTTTTAATTATTGCATTACTGCGTTCTGGATTCTAATGTCCACTATATAAGAAAGGTTTTAGAAAACAGTGATATTTTCCATATTGTCAGTTAGGCTAGCTGTTGATTGAAAATCATTAATTATAACAGCATAACTATTTTTGGAGTCTGGAATTTCCAGCCAAGGTTGCGGAGATAGAGACATGTAAACATTCCAAGGAATTGAGAAGTCGTTGTTTTATATTCCAAATTATGAACAACATTATTACATACAGCCATAAAGAGAAAGACATGGCTTTTAAATACATTCAATACAGTACACTGCAGCATATATTTTATATAACATATGCTAACTAGCTCATATTTTTTCCTAAACAGAGTTTAAATTATACTACCCTTCTATAAAAAAGGGCAACAGGTGGTTATACATCCTTTGCTTCTCTAAATGCTCTGCAAAAATAAATATTGATAAAATGATTAAAAATAATATATATGTAAGATAAATCAGGGCAAAATAAAATTGTAACTATACAGGATCTCTAATAACTTTTAAACTGAAATTATTAAAGGCTTATTTAAATAAAATGTTAAATACATTTACAGCTTTAAATGTGACCAAA